ACTTGGAAAATTTTTAAAATACTTCTAAATAGCCAAGGGTCAAAGAAGAAATTAGAAGGAAAAAAGTATTTATTATTTTGAGTGAAAACAAAACAATGTATCAAAATTTGTGAGATGTAGTTAAAGTGTTACAATTTACCACATTAACAAAATATAGGAGAAATAGATACCTAAGCAGGAAAACCATGGTTGGATATGCAATCATTTCAATAATTATGTAATAAAAGCTTAACAAAATCTCAGCACACATTTGTAAAAACTCACAGAAAACTAGGAACAGAATCAAAGTTCCTTCAACTTGATAAAAGATACCTAGGGGGAAATCCCAACAAATAATACACAGGTGAAACACTGCTTCCCCTTGAGAATAGCAAAATGCAAAGATATCCTATCCTACTCCTATCTAACTGAGAACTGGAGATTATAGCCAGTCCAATAAAGCAGAATTTAATTTAAATAATTTTTAAAAGATCAGAAAGAAAAAGTCAAATCTTTATTTGCCTACCATGATTGTGTATTACAAAAACCTAAAGCTACAAGAACCAATACATGAGTCCAGCAAGATCCATACACACAACTCTGCTGCATTTCAATATACTAAAATTAGCAATAAGAAACCGAAATTTAAGGGCTGGGGTTGTGGCTCAGCGGTAGAGCACTCGCCTAGCGTGTGTGAGGCCCTGGGTTCGATCCTCAGCACCACATAAGAATAAACAAAATAAAGGTATTGTGTCTAACTACAACTAAGAAATAAATATTTTAAAAAAGAAACTGAAACTTAAGCCAGGCACGGTGGCACATGCCTGAAATCCCAGCAAATGGGGTAGTTGAGGCAGGAGGGCTCTAAGTTTGAGGCCAGCCTCAGCAACTTAACAAGGCCTGTCTCAAAATAAAAAGGGTTGGGGATGTAGGTCAGTGGTAAAGTGCCCCTGGGTTCAAATCTCCAGAACTCTCTCCCCAAAAGGAACAAACTTCCCAACATTCAGTAATATAAATTAAAAACAAAACATTATGCTAGCTAGTCAGATATAAGAATGCATAGAATATGATTCCATTTACTGTATTAAAGACAAATCTATAGTGATAGAAAACATTAGTGTTTGACTAGGTAAGGGAAACAGAAAATACTGACAGTTTACGAGACCTGGAATATATAGTAAATAGGTCTAACAAATAAGATGAGAGTGCTAATGAGACAGAGGCAATATGTAAAGAAATAATGGCTGAGAATTTCTGAAGCAAATAAAAAACAGCAATCTACAGACAAAAGAAGCCAAAATAACTCAAAAAAATAAAACGAATTCTCCCTTGGATACATTATAATGAAATTACAGAAAACCAAATAAAGAAACAATCTTAAAAGGTAAAAAGAGAGGTTACCTTCTGACAGCTAAATTCTCAACAATCACAATTAAAGCTGGCAGAGAGTGGTCTATCTTCAATGTGCTGGGGTAGAAAGGTCCTGCCACGCTAGCAATCTATAGGTAGATACAAGAGATTTCAAAACACAGTGAAATAAAGATATTTTAAAAGGAGAAAAACATGGAATTCTCATTAGCAGACCCTCACTGAAAAATCTGAAAGGATATTCTTCAAGTAGATGGAAATCATAAATGGAAGGCCTGGGTAACAAGAAACAATAAAAAGAAAATGGTAAAATAGGAGGTAGTACATCTAATCACATTTTGCATAATAAATGTAAATTTTAGAAAAAAATTTAAAATCAAAATACATGATGTAAAGTTCACATGTAAATGCATATAGAGTTTTATGTCCCTTGTTTTGGAAGAGGATACAGTACTGATTTCCTTTAGACACTGAAATCAAGAATGCATACTGTAAATTCTAGGGTCATCATTTAATTGCTAAGAGAACAGAAAAAAAGTCCACTGAGGCCTTAGGCTCAATACTCAGCACTTAAATAATATAAAATAAAATAGCTAAATTCTATTTAGCTATTTTATTTATCTAATTCTATTTGATCAAGTATTCTCATCAACAGAATGGGTTGTCAAGCTTTTTAAAGTTTTGTGCTTTAATAAATGGAATACAGTACTTTAAGTTTTGAGTGAATTTGAATTTTTTTTTCAAGGTTGAGGTCCTCTTTTATTGTAGTTATAATATGGGATTTTGTTTTAATCATTGTAAAGTTGGTATACAATTTACTGGCAAGAATTTTTCATCCATCACCACTATTTCCAATTCCATGTTATTATTCTAAACATAAACTCTATCCATTAAGCAGTAATTCAGCTTTCCCTTCCCCCAACTTCTGGCAACTTCTAATTTACTTTCTGTCTCTGTATTTATCTGTATACTGTATTTATCTATTCTAAATATTTCAAGTAAGTGGACATACAACATTTATCTTTTTTTATCTAGCTTATTTGACTTAGCATGCGTTCAAGATTCATTAAAGCTATAGCACATGGGGCTGGTTTGTGGCTCAGTGCTGGAGCGATTGCCTAACATGTATGAGGCACTGGATTCAATCCTAAGCATCACATAAAAAAATGAGTGAATAAATAAAGTTATTTTTAAAAAGTTACAGCATATATCAGAATGTAATTCCTTTTTATGGATGAACAACCCATTGTGTATATGTACCACATTTATGTATTTGTTGATGGAAATGTGGGTTGTTTTCAACTTTGGCTATTATAAATGATGCTGCTATAAACATTCACATCTCTCTCTGATATGTGATCAAGTATCTCTTTCAACAAGTATCTGTTCAAGTTCCTTTTTAATTCTTTTAGACATATACCTAGAAATGGAATTGTTGGGTCAACAAATTGTTTAACTTTTTGAAGAACTGCTAAACTGCACAGTAGTTTCACCATTTTAAACTCCAACCAGCAATGTACAAGGATTCCAATTTCTCCATTTTCACCAAAACTTATTTTCTTTTTTAAAAAAAATTATAGCTAACAGTAGATGTGAAATAGTATCTCACTGTGGCTTTGATTTGCATTTCTCTAATAACTAATGCTGCTGAGCATCTTTTCATGTGTTTACTGCTCATTTGTGTATATTTGAAGAAAAGTCTATTTCAATACTTCGTCCATTTTAAATATTGGATTGTCTTTTTGTTGTTAAGTTGCAGAAGTCCTTTATATGTCCCAGATCTTGTCAAATGTATAATTTGCAAATATTTTCTCCCATACTTTAGGTGTTTTTTTCACTCTCTTCATAATGTTCTTTGATGAAGTCCAATTTATCTATTTTTTCTTTTGTTGCCTTTGCTTTTAGTGTTTGTTTGCTCTTGCAGTGCTGGAGACTGAACCCAGGGCCATGCACATTCTAGGCAAGCCCTCTATCATAGAGCTACATCTCCCTGCCTTTTTAAAGTTTTATTTTGAGACAGGATTTTGCTAAGTTGCCCAGACTGACCCCAAACTTGTAGTCTACCCATCTTAAAAAAAAAAAAAAAAAGGAAGCTTGAAGGCTCACACATGTTAATTTCAAAATATATTACAAAATAACAGTAATGAATACAGTGAGATACTGGTATGAGAATGTCACATAAACCAATGAAACAGAATTAAGAGCCAGAAATGGACCCTCATGTCTGTTGCCAGTTAATTTTCAACAAGGGTGCCAAGACCACTGAATTGGGAAAGAAGTTTCAACATGTAAAGGTGCTAATTAGACTTCTACACACAAAAGAATGAAGTTTAACCCTTAAATTACATTCCTATGCAAAAAAGGAACTCAAAATTGATCAAAAGACTAAATTTAAGAGTTGAAACTGTTTTTAAATTCTTAGAAGGGAACATAGGGGCAAATCTTCATGACCATGGATTTGGCAACGGTTTTAAAAACATGCCACTAAAGCCAGGCATAGTGGCACACACCTATAATCCCAACTCCTCTGGAAGGCCTTATCTGGCTTGCTGAGACAGAAATTAACAGCTCTGTCCTCTAGTGATTTCCCACCACCATTCCTTCCAGTTATCACAAGGTATGACTGTCTTAGTATCTAATCCTTTTCTCCTTCTCTCTCCAAAACTGAAACCCAAAGGAAAACAAGAAATGTTTTTCTGATTCACCTGTCCAAATCTCCATGGTATACAAAGAGTATTTTCATAGTAGGGAAAACTGTCAGTGGATATAAGAAGAATAAGTTCTGATATTCTATTGCACAGTAAGGTGATTACAATTAACAATGTTGTATTAGTTCAAAGTAACTAGAAGAAAGAATTTTAAACAATCTCACTACAAGAAATGATAAATATTTGAGATGAATATGGTAAATACCCTGATTTTATCATTATACGTTATATATATGTGTGTGTGTGTGTGTGTGTGTATAAACATCACTACATTCCATAAATATGTACAATGAGTAATATGTCAATGAAAAACAAGGGCTAGGAATGTATCTCAGTGATAGGGCACTTGCCCAGCATGTATGAGGCCCTAGGTTCAATCCTGAGTACTATGAAAATAAGTGAATAAAGTAAAACAGAATACATAAATCCCTAGTGGATGTTTTTGGAATTAAAGCCAAAGAATAAATAAGTTATCAGACAAAAACGGCTTTACTACTGAGAATCCTTTTGAATTTAATATGTTCATATTTAGATGAACAAAAATTGTTAAATTTGGGAGTCCACAGTTAAGAATTCAGGAAATGGAGGGCTCTGGACAGTTCTCTGTATGGGTGTGGCCTTAAACACAATTTTGTGAATATAGAAATAGAGTAATTTGAATGTTTATCATTTTTATCATATCTCTGTTAGCATATCCACTCTAAGGTAGATAGCTGGCAGACTCTAAGTCTCAACATTTCTAGAGCTAGAAAAGGGTTCTGAGAAAGATAAAACATGACCGAGGATTCTATCCTGTGTTTTTAGCTATAGAGTAAAGTAGCAATTTGCAATTACATCTGAGGTGGAGATGTGAGAGTCTGGTTCTTTGTAGCATCTTTAGGATTAAGGTCTCTGAGTTCTGAAATTCCCTGGGACTTGGACCCTCAATTAAGAAGCTGGTCTTACTTCTCATTGCAGCGGTATGTGAGGACCGTAGCCCAGAAGCCCAGCACTGAGAGGATGAAAGTTGTAAAAAGCAATAAGGTGACCATGATGACCACAGCCATGATGAAGGTATCCATGACACAGTTGTTGGACTGGGGCATGTGCGAGGCTAAGGAGACAATGGGGCCAAAGCCTAGGCCCAGCTGAAACACAACTTGGCTCCCTGCTCTTGACCACACATTTACGTTGTACAAAGCTGACACCTAAAAGGGAAAAGTCAAGTGTAAGAGAGATTTAAAGAACAAGAGGACGACTATAGCAGAAATGCTGGGGGGCAGTTGGGGGAAGCACAGAATGAGATGACACAGAAAGAAGGCCTTAAAAACAGGCAGCCATGATAACTTTTGAGGAAGAGATACCTCACCTTGGCAACCAGCAAATGTTGAAGGCCATATATTGCCCCTTCCAGCAGTAGACTCCGGATAAGGAAACAGAAGAGGATGAAATAGGGAAGTAGTACCAAGACATACATTACCTGAATTGAGAGTAGGACACATCAGCAATCATGTACCAGTAGGAGCCAAACAACAGTCAGCAGGGATCAAAAATTCTGAGTCAGGAATTAGTAGGAGTTTAAAAAAACTCAGCAGGAGTCAGGGGCTAGTGGGAGTAAAAGGCTAGAAGGAGTAAAAAATTAGATCCACATGTAACAAAGTGAGGAATGGGTTAGAGCTTCTGAGAATATCAACGAATACAAAAATGGTGGCTCACCTTCCCAATGGACTGGAGTCCATTGATGATAAAAACACCAATGAGACACCAGGACACAAATAAGGGAAGGCTCAGACTTAAGACCGGTAGCCCACCATCCTCAATTCTGTCTGAAGCCTTCAAGGTCTGCTGGTACCAGAAGTAGATGGAGGGTGTCGTCCGTGCACAGGCTGGATCTGGAGGGACCTGGCTTTGGATATGCCTGCTAGACAGGGTAACCCCTCCCCACTTCTTTATTCCCACTCACTTCCCTATACCTTCCCCTCCCAATTATTTTTCCTTCTCTCTTCCTTTTCCCTCCTTCCTTGCTCCTTTCTCCTCTTCCAAATTTCCTTCCAGCTATTTTCCCCTTCTCTTCCTCTCTCATTTCCTCCTCACCAAAGTCACTGGCATTCTTCAATAAGGGACATTTCTCCCATGGAACAGGGAACTGGAAGAAGTGGCTCAAGTAGAAGAGGATCCAAGAATTGAACACATTCGTGTATATACTGGTGATGAAGCACACCTGGAGACCAGGGAGGAAGTGGCTGGGGAGGAAGACTAGGGACAGGAAAAAGGAAGGGATCTGACAGAGCGCTGAGGGACAGAAGGGACTTGACCCATGGACGTTGGGATGTGGGTGGGGTATTAAGGTAGGCCTCAGCATCCCAGTGCTCCTCACCATGAAGCTGATGTACCCCACTCCACCAGCCCAGGGGCCAATGATCTTCCACAAATCCAGGCTACCCTGCTGCAGCATCTGGCCAACTGCCATCTCCAGGAAAAGGAGAGGAATCCCAACAAAGACCAGAATGATGATATAGATCATGAAGAAGCTACCTGTGAAAAGGATTTAGGAGGGGTTCTGAAAAACTTCTGGGCTTTCAGTACCCAGATTTATTCACAGGCCCAGGAAGACATGCTCACCACCAGCATTCATCTGTTTCTACATCCCTCACTGTCCCACATCTGGTCCCCTAGTTCCTAATTTCTGGAAGACCTAAATACCTAATTTCTACCCCACCCATGACCAGGTCTCCAGCCCTATCATCCTCCTGTACCTCTACCCTTTTTCATTCCCCCAGGTATTCAGGCACTTCATACCTATCCCGCTCAAAGTACCAAGTCTCCAACATCTACATATCTCAGAGATGTTATAAATTGAAGCTTGGACAGTCTTCTGTCCTGCTAGCCCCTTATGAATCAAGACTTACAGCCTCCTTTGTGAATCCAGAGGTAGACAAAGTTCCAGAGCTGGGTTGGCCTCAAAGAGTAGCCCACCAAGGTCAGAATATAATAAAATTTTTGGGGCCAGAGTGGACGCACAAGGAAGGTACCTTCCTTCTCTGTCACTTCCACCTTTTCCTTCGAGTGTTTCTGCTTCATGACTGAGGTAGCTGTCACATCTGATACAATATTTTGCTTGGGTTGGCTGTTGGCCCTGGTCTGAGCCTCAAAAGCATGGGTCTCCCAGGCCTCAGCCTTTGCAGTCCGGGTTGCCAAATCCTGAAACTCTGAAATAGAGGCTGCAGAAGACCAGGTGACTGGGTCCTTGCTTTCCAAAATATGGCTTTCTGGGACACCATCAGTAAGCTTTGTCAAAGTAGATGAGGTTGTTTCCAGCAAGGATACTGAAGTGTGGGCCTCTACCTCCATCCCAGGAAGAGTCTCACGAGCATCTCTAGCTTCTTCAACAGAACGTTCACCTTTCTGAGTAGACCTTAAGACCATCAAAAACTATAGATTTCAGATTTTATAGTTAGGAATTTATTGAGTTCCAAGACAATTCTTAGTACTTCCTTAAACCAAACCTCATTTCTATCCCTACTACCACTGACATTCAAAGTGCATATGCATGCACACAAACTCATATCCCTCTTACATAAGTTCTATTTTTTTTTTAAGTACCAGAGACTGAATCCAGGGACGCTTAGCCACTGAGCCACATCCCCAGCCTTTTTAAAATGTTTTATTTAGAGATAGGGTCTACAGAATTGCTTAGGGCCTCACTAAATTGCTGAGGCCGGCTTTGAACTCACAATCCTGCCTCAGCCTCCTGAGCCAATGGGATTACAGGCATGCCCCACCGCACCCAGCAAGTTTTACTTCTTAGACATGTCTTAATGCAAGAAACAGGGGTAGAGGGGCTGGGGATGTGGCTCAAGCAGTAACGTGCTCGCCTGGCATACGCGGGGCGCTGGGGTTCGATCCTCAACATCACATAAAAATAAAATAAAGATGATGTGTCCACCAAAACTGATCTCTCTCTCTCTCTGTCTCTCTCTCTCTCTCTCTAAAAAAAAAAAAAGAAAAAGAAAAAGAAACAAGGGTAGGAATCACACTCAAAGGATTTCTGAGACTGAGATACATTCCCTACAGAAGGAGGTACCATTTAAGTTAGACTTTTGAATCAAAGAATCTAATTTAATCCTAATCTTCTTTATTCTTTAGGAAAGTTGTCTTACCTCTATGAACTTTCTCATCTGTAAAGTACTCAGGTCTCTGCTCAAATATTACCTCACCAGAGATGCCTTCCCTGTCTATTTCAAATAGCAGCTACCTACTCACCACTCTTTCCATCTTACCTCTGTTCATTTTTCTTCCTAGCCTTTCTTTAGCTCCTGATTTTTTATGTTATTATCTACTGAATGTATCCAGTGTCCATCTCTGCTTCCTGCTCTACACCCAGACAGAAGATGGTACTTACCTCAAAACTGGGGCCACTCTCATCTCTGCTTGCTATGCTCCCGCCACTCTGACCTTTGGATGGCTTCAAAAGTCTATAAGACAATGGGCAAGAATTGAGCTGGAAAAGAAAAGAAAAAAAAAATGGCTGTAAAAGAGAGAGAGAGAGGGAGGGAAGTGGAGCTTTATTTTAGAGGGAATGAGCATACTATACAAAATCAGAGGTTGCAGGTAGGCCTCAAGTCAGCACTGGCACATCTGGTCACATGGATAATGAACTGTAAGACACACTATTTCCAAAGAGTTCTTGGTTGCTCAGGAAATGTTTACAATTCAATGATATGTCTTTAATTTATCTCTACTATATGTAAGTATGCAATAAAAGAAAAGACTGACAGAAAAATGCATGAACATATAGAAGGGAAAGGACTGTTGGAAAATTTATATCCTTCTCTCTTTTAGATAGTTGTAACCTGTCTACAAAAAAAGCATATTACTTTAATACTCAAAAAAAATATATATATATATAGCAGCTGCAGGGAACTGGCGAGGATACACAAATGATAGGTTCTCTACACCTGCTGAAAGCTTTCTCAGAAAAACTAGCATTCCCCAGCCCACAATAGCAGACGAAACTGATTTCACTACCAGAGATGCTGGGGATTCCAGCACTTATCCTATGCAGTGCTCAGCACTGCTCAAAAACAGTTTTGCGGTACTCGAAGGACAACTAAGCGAAAACAGTAGAGATGTCAACTTCTAAAACTGGAAAGCATGGTCATTCCAAGGTATACCTTGTTGGAACTGATATTTTCATAGGCAAAAAATATGAAGATATGTGCCTTTCTACTCATAAGATGGATGTTCCAAATATTAAGAGAAATGATTATCAACTGATGTGCATTCAGGATGGTTACCTTTCCCTAACAACAGAAACTGGTTAAGTTCATGAGGATCTTAAACTGCCAGAAAATAAGGTAGGCAAAGAAATAGAAAGTACAATGCAGGTGAAGATGTACTGGTGTCTGTTATGTGTGCAAGGAGTGAAGAATATGCTGAAGCCATAAAGCACTGCAAATAAATGGGGACATCAGGCACGAGCCAACAGTTTGGATCTGGATCAATTGCAGATCTAAAGTTTGGTTCTAAGTTGTCACCAAAGGTATGACATTCATAAGCAACCTCATTTTTTTTTAACTGTTTTGAAGTTGTGCTGGTTCATTCTGCAAGTAGTCAGCAACTCAAAAAAATCAATATATACAATTTTTTAAAATTTTGTCTTTCCTATAACATTCCTACAGTTTTATTATGTGGGTCCAAGAAACATGAAGCTTCAGCAAATGTGATTTGTCTGAGCAAATCATTCCTTAATTTTAATAAAATGATTATTGAACTAGGGTTTTAAAAAAGATAATATAGCATTTGGTAGTACTGAAGTACCACATTTAAGTTAAATTGCTCTGCATTAATTTCAGACTTAATGTCATAGAATACGTAGATTATGGATTTAAATTGTTAGTTTCAGTCTGTGTGTGGCAAACAAATCTTTAAACAAAAATCATGTTATCAAAGAGTATCAGTTATCTTGGTGGTTGTGTGAAATGATATACATTACTTTGGTCATACCATTCTTTGCCACACTGTTGGCAGACGTATGCCTTAGATGGTGGTTTTAGTACTTGCTTGTCATTGACAGAGGGACACTGAGCTGTTGGGTGAAAATAAACAAGTCACACTGTAAAGATGACAAAAAGGATAGTGGCAAAGGAGGTTGGTAAACTCTAGGTTTTGACTTGAGACCTTTGTAATCAGCATAAAAATCAGGAAGCAACTTTTTTAAAGAAATTTTTTAGTTATAGATGGTCACAATGTCTTTATTTATTTTTATGTGGTGCTGAGGATCGAACCCAGTGCCTCACACCTGCGAGGCAAGTGCTCTACCACTGAGCTACAGCCCCAGCCCAGGAAGCAGCTTTTTAGTTGTATTTTTGCTTTTAGCTTTTGTTCCCCATGACTCCCTGGCATTGAAAGGACTGACCTGCTTTACAGGACACTGTGCAGTGCTTTTTTTGCAACCATGTTGAATTAAGTGTTGGTATTTACCAGTAATTGTTCCTTTTCAACCATTTTAAAGTATTTTTTTACCTTAAAATATTAGACTTGGACTGGGGTTGTAGCTCAGCAGTAGCCACAAGCGAGGCCCTGGGTTTGATCCTCAGCACCACATAAATAAATAAAATAAAGATATTGTGTTCAACCACAACTAAAAAATAAATATTTAAGAAAAAAAAATATTAGACTAAAACTGAGAATTCTTAAGTTGACTTGGAATTCTTTAAATTGATTTGTTAAATTTATGTATTTTTTTCTAAAGTAAAATGAAAGTCAATCATGGAATAAATGTTACTTTATTTAAAATTATTATTTAACTTATTTTTTAATATTTATTTTTTGTTGTAGCTAGACACAATACCTTTTATTTTATTTATTTATTTTCTGTGGTGCTGAGGATCAAACCCAGGGCCTCGCACATGCTAGGCAAGCGCTCTACCGCAGAGCCACAACCCTAGCTCTATTTAACTTATTTTAAGTGTTATGTATTTTTTCTGTTTTCTGTCTTAATTCAGTACCAATGTGAAATGTGAAATTTAACTAGGAAAGAAGTCTATAAGTGAAATCATTCTTTAAAGTGTTTCAGGTGACATCACTGCACTCCCATTTTGTCTTTTAGATCATTCATACATATGTTTGTGTGTGTGTGTGTATGCACATGTATATATCCATATATATCCAATATATATCCATATATAGTCATTCCAAAATTTTAGACATCATTATAGAGTTTAGCTCAGTAGCAATGATTACATTGGAGTGAAACTTAGAACAAAATCACTTATCTCAGTAATGCCTTAGTTCTCTAAGACAAGTTCTGAGATCTTTCCCATCATGGCTTGACCTCAAAGGTCTTTGTTCCTATCATCTAGAGAAAAACATGAGATATAACTCATCTAATAAGTGACCAGAAAGAGTGTTAGGAACATAAGATCTCCAAAATTCAGTTGCTTAATTTGTACACACTTTAAAATTTTGTCTTGGCCTCAACAAACCCATTTGGACAAGAAGCAAGATACTTTAAGTACAAGGAAGAGGATTCTAAAGCACAAGAAATACTGAAGTCACAATAATTATTTTAGTAAGACATTAGCTTTTGCCCATCTAAAGCACAATTAGTAATTAGGCTGAATTATTTCCAGTATTGTTTTTTTTTAATTTTTTAAAATAGTTGTAGGTGGACAGCTTGCCTTTGTTTATTATTTTATGCAGTGCTAAGGATTGAACCCAATGCCTCATACATGCTAGGCAAGCGTTCTGAGCTACAGTCCCAGCCCCTCTTTTATTTTTAAGACACACTTATTCCACATCATGATTAGACCATTATATTTAGCAATCAACAAGCATGAATGCAAAAAAAAAAAAAAAGTCTACATTAAACCTTTCAGAGCTTTACACTTTTCTCAGAAAAGAAACTAAAATAACCTGTTATACAATTAGTCACAAATATAGTCCTTGAGGTTTTTTTGCCCATACACATGAGTATTGTCTAAATCTTATCTTCTTTGTAGCAGCTAGGTCCTGCCATCACTGTGCTTGGCTGAGTTTACAAATCTATTGTAAACTATAGCTTCCCTGTCACTTCTCTGGCTCTCCTCTCCTGCTAAGCTTTGTTTTCAGGCAGTATTAAAACCTTCTGTCACTGCCATAGCTACTGCTGCTGCTGCAACCGTCATAGCCACCTTGGTTTCACGGTTTAGCAAAATATTGGTCTCCACCACCATAAGGTCCAGAGCTTCTTCCTCCAAAGTTCCCACACCCACCCTGGCCACTGAAGTTCCCTCCATAACCAAAATTGTCATTTCCTCCAAAACCAGCTCCAAAGTTTCCAGAACTGCTTCGACCTCTTTGGCTTAATGAAGCATTAGCCATCTCTTGCTTTGATGGGGCTCTTGTTACTTCACAGTTGTGGCCATTCACAGTATGGTATTTCTTTATCATTTATTTTTTGTACTTATAGATGGAAAGCATGTCTTCATTTATTTAATGTGGTGCTGTGGATTGAACCCAGTGCCTCACCTACACTAGGCAAGTGCTCTGCCACTGAGCTATAGCCACTCCCACAGTATGGTATTTCTGAATGACACACAGTCTTGTTTGTCAAAAATTACAAAGCTAAGCTGCCGCCCCGACCTATGCGGCAGTTGAACTTAAGATGGCTGGTGTGAATCTGCAGGGACACCAAACAAAACACAGACACAATTTACCTTTGCACAAGCTTCAGGACAGCTTCTCCACTTTCGGCCTCAGGCTTCCCAAGAGAGAGAGCAAGAGAAAGTCACGAGAGGCAGGCAAGAGAGAGTGAGCATGTAAGTGAGCTTTTATTGGGGGAACTCTTGTTCTTTAGAAAGTTCTATCCAAAAAAGGCGAGAAGGGGCAGGGATACAAGGGAACAGGTGAGTGTAACTCAACCCTGTGGGCACATCCCACAAAAAAGATCCCTTACTATCCAAGCTAGACTCTGCCCTAACCAGAGCGAATGCAATGGTTGGTCAGAATCTGAGGCATCAGGACTAGAAGAGTACGGTCATTCTTTGTGGCTCCCCACACAAAGCCCCTTTTCTTTCCACTGCCTTGGTCAGTCATGACTTCAATAACTTCAATTTTTCCGAACTGTTCAAAATAATATTGTAGGTAATGTGGATTCAGGGTCTTTAATGGTACCAACAAAGATCTTCTCCACAGTTAAGTGGGCCCCTGGTCTTTGAGAATCTTCTATTGAGACAGCTCTCTGGTTCCACAACTCTTCCATCCACCTTGTGTGGTCTTGCATGCATGGCTGCATCCACTTCCTCCATAGTGGTGTTTAAGTGAAAAACCCAAAGCCCCTGGAGCACTTGGTATTTGGGTCTCTCATTACCATACAGTCCATGAATCTTCCCCATTGCTCAAAAATGGCTTCTCAGACTCTCAGTTGTTTCAAAGCTCAGCCCTTCAATGAACAGCTTCAACAGCTGTTCTGGCTCTTTAGGGAAGTCTGATTTAGACATGAAAGGCAACAGGAAGAGA